CGCCTCGGCTGCCCTTCCTCGAGCTGGGAGGGGCGGGGCCAGACACATGCCTGCGGTCTGGGGGGAGGGGTGGGGCCAGGCACCTTCCCACCTTCGCGTTCTCGCAGGTCGTCCCGAAGGGCGACGCCCGGATCTCCCTGACCTACAAGTACATGATCCACGAGGACTCGCTCCACGTGGACAACAACAACGTGTTAGAGGACGACTCCGTGAGCCACGAGTGGGCCCTGAAGAAGTGGTCTCCCTGCTCCAAGCCCTGCGGTGGAGGTGAGGATCTCGCGGTGGGCCCAGGGGTCGGGAGGGCGGAGAGGAGGTGGGGAGCGTCCCGGGCTGGGCCCCGAGGGAGCAGAGCCTAGAGGGGCCCAGTCCTGGGGAGGGCCGGGCTGCGGGGGAACTCCTCCGGTGCCAACCTTCCTGAGCCATGGTGCCCCTGCCGGGCCTGAGGCCTCTGAGCTCCAGCATGTGGCAGGGTGGCAGGACGGGGCCAGGGGCCACGCCAGGGACCTTGGCCTGGTGGTGGCAGGAAGGGTGGGTGCTGGGCATGAGGCCCAAGGCGGCAGAGGGCATGTTGGGCAGAGACCCGCCTCCGTGCGGACAGGCCTGCCTGTGGGAGTCAAGGTGTGGGTGGTCTCAGCAGGACGGGGGCCAGCAGGACTTGGGCGGTGCAGGAGGCCCCTGGAGGCCCTCCCTCCCTCTGTCCCTTCGGAGGAGCCTCCCAGACCTCCCTGGTGCAGGGCTGGGCATGGAGGAGGCCCTGCCCTGACCCTCAGAGTCCACAGTGGGTGGACAAGGAGGTGGACGGGAGTCGTGATGGGTCCCGGGTGCTCGGTACTCCTGGGGGCTGGGCGAAAGATGAGGGGGCAACCTGGACGATGCCATGCAAGCCTCACCTGGAGGATGAGGAGAAAAGGCCACCCCCCCGCCCCCACACCATGCGGTCCCCACCTGGAGGACGAGCCTGGAGCACGCTTCCTGGCCCGGGCACACAGAACGGTCCTCTTCCGGAGTCCCGGCGTGTGGCTCCCGGCCTCCTGCTGTGCCTCCCTGCCCGGTCCCCGTGCTCGGCTAGGGTTTCTGGCACATCTGGCGATCCTCCTGTCTCTTGGGCCCGCCTGCGCCCCTGTGTCCCAGCCGCCTCGGTCCCAGCTGGCCCTGGGAAGGACGCCTCAGCCCGCGTCCCTTGCTGGTGTCACAGTCTTTCGCAGTTTCCTCTGTTCTTGGGATAAAAAACAAAATTATCCTCGTGGCCTCTGAGGTCCAGGCGACTTGCTGGCCTGTCTCAGCACCCTGGCCCTCCACCCCCTGCCCCTAGGCCCTGGCCATGCCACACCCGGAGGCCTTTGCAGAGACTTCTCCCAGGGGACCCCTACCACCTGGCCACTGAGTAGGCACCACCACCCTCTGCTTCCTGGACACCTCCTGACCCTGGATGTGGCTGGGCTTTGGCTTTCCTGCCTGCCAGGCCGGGTTCACAGCCCGGAGCCCCAGACCTTCAGGGCTCTGCTGATCATGGTGGGGCTGCCCTGAGCCCTGCAGGATGGCGGGCGCGTCCCCTGCCCCTGCCCTCTAGAGCCGGCAGCATGCCCCTCAACTGTGACAACTGGCAATGTTCAGACACGGCCCCATGTCCCCAGCTAGAGAAAGCCAGCCCCAGTCGAGAACAGCTCTAGGACTATGGGGGCAGAAGCGTGTGGGCCAGGTGCCCAGTGCCTGCCCAACCCCGGCGCACCAGGCCCCCTGGTCAAGACGGAGCAGGGCCTGGGAGGCAGAGGGGAAGTTGAGCCTCCACTCTGGTCCAGGAGGCCAGGGGCCACCCGGGGGGCTGCGGGGAGGAGGCAGCCTCCCCTTGCCCTCCCGCCCCCTCTGCCTGGGGCTCACAGCCTCCCTCCAGGCAGCCGCTGGGTGCCCTGCCCTCCCCCACCAAGGAGAGGAGAGGGAGGGAACCGGGACACCCTCGCGCCCCCGGGGCATCGCCCGGCCTCACTGGGCCCCCTCGGGCTCTCTGTCTCCAGGGTCCCAGTTCACCAAGTACGGCTGCCGTCGGAGGCTGGACCACAAGATGGTGCACCGCGGCTTCTGCGCCGCCCTCTCGAAGCCCAATGCCATCCGCCGGGCATGCAACCCCCAGGAGTGCTCCCAGCCCGTGTGAGTGCCCCCAGCCCGGGGTCCCGCCCGTGGCCACAGGAGCTCCCGTGCAGGGAGGCGTGGGATCTGGGCGTGTGCATCTGGGCCTGGCGTTACCCCAGGCCTGGGACAGGGCCGATCCCGCCACACTTCTGGCCTCCCAGACGCTGCGGGGGGGGGGGTGCCCTGGCTTAGGACCCACCAAGTGGAAGCCATCGTGTGTGTGTCTTGGAAATGGCAGCACGTGGTGGGGCCCCGATGGGGAAACTGAGCCCAGAGGGCCCAAGGCCGTCTCCTGGGCCAGTGCACATGCTTCTAAGCAGCGGCCTTGGTACACGCGCAGCCCTGGGGCAGGGCCCTCAGGCTGCTGACAGCTGGTGGGCAGGCAGGTGGGGGTCGTGTAGGGCAGGGGGTGAGGTGCCCATGGCGCTCTTGAGGCGGCCCAGGAGGGGACGTCGTGGACGGTGAGGCCAGGGGTGGGGACAGAGGAAGGACAGAGCCACCGGCCGCCAGCATCTCCAGCGGGGGCCGACATGGGACCCATCCTTGGTAGGGCCTGAGACAGCTGAGCCTGTTTCCCCCATGGGCCCCTGCGCGGCTGGCATCTTGGTGGGAGCAGAAGCCATGCCAGGGAGGAAGCAGTTGCCCTCTCTGTCCCACCGTCCACCTGGGCTGCAGGGCGTGGCTCCCCAGGGCTGCCGGCCCAACCGTGTGCCTTCTGCCCCGCAGGTGGGTCACGGGCGAGTGGGAGCCATGCAGCCAGAGCTGCGGGCGAACGGGCATGCAGGTGCGCCCCGTGCGCTGTGTCCAGCCGCTGCACAACAACACCACGCGCTCCGTGCACACCAAACACTGCAACGACGCCCGGCCCGAGAGCCGCCGGGCCTGCAACCGTGAGCTGTGCCCCGGCCGATGGCGGGCTGGGCCCTGGTCCCAGGTGAGCAGGGGCCTGGCCCTGTACGCTGGCAGCGACTGAGCTGAGCGGGACCCAAGTGACCCTCGGCCCGGGGACTTGGGCTGCTCCTTCTGACCCCTCCCGGGCCGTGTGGATGCCAGCCTCGGCGTCTGCCGCTCTCTACGTCACAACAGCTTGGGGACGGGCACTGGCGTCCCCCCCTGAGAGCCCAGAGACGGGGCCCCGAGAACTGGGCACGGCGGCCTCTGACCCTTCTCTTCCCCCTGCCGGCCACGTGCCCAGATGGGCCCCATGGGGGAAGTGAGTCCTGCCTGGTGACCCGGTGACTCTTCCCACAGTGCTCGGTTACCTGCGGCAACGGCACCCAGGAGCGGCCCGTGCTTTGCCGCACGGTGGATGACAGCTTCGGCATCTGCCCAGAGGAGCGGCCAGAGACGGCGAGGGTCTGCAGGCTCACGGCCTGTCCCCGTAAGCCCCAGCGAGAGCCGCCCAGGGCTGGGGGGTTGGGGGGGCGGCAGATCTGGCTCCTCCCTGAAGGAGGCTGGCCTGCACATCCACGAACTGGGAGGAGCAGGGTGCTGTGGCTGGCCTGGGGGCTCTTCAGGAGGAAGGAGGGCGTTGGCGGCCCTGGTGGCAGCCTGGGGGCTCGGTGGGGCGGGCTCCAGGCTCCAGTCCCACAGCAGGTGCACCCCATGCGCTGCAGGGTACAGGCGCCTGTGCAAGCCGGGGGTGCCCCGTGCCCTTCTAGAGGAACACCCAGAACACCATGTGTATGCAGGTGCCTGGCCAGTGTCCCACGTGTCCCCTCTTACGGTTCCCACAGCCGCTCGGGGCGAGCCCCCGCCCACCGTGATACCCTTCTAGGGAGGACAGAGCTCGGGGTCAGGCACCCGCCCCAGGACTTCCCCTCCCCCATGCC